AACGTGATCGAGCGGAGCATCCAGGACGCGTACATCCACGCCATCCGCCGCGCCAGGGACTTCATCTACATCGAGAACCAGTACTTCATCGGGAGCTCCTACGGGTGGAGGCCCGGCGGCGGCGTCAGGCCGGAGGACGTCGAGGCGGTGAACCTGATCCCGAGGGAGCTCTCCCTCAAGATCGTGAGCAAGATCGCCGCCGGCGAGCGGTTCGCCGTCTACGTCGTGGTGCCGATGTGGCCCGAGGGCCACCCTGGCAACGAGGCCATGCAGGCCATCCTCGACTGGCAGAGGAGGACGATGGAGATGATGTACTACGACATCGCCGTCGCGCTCAAGGCCAATCACAGCGACGCCGACCCGAGGGATTACCTCACCTTCTTCTGCTTGGGGAACAGGGAGGCCAAGAGCCATGGCGAGTACGTGCCTGCACATCGCCCGGATCAAGACACAGACTACGCCAAGGCGCAGAACGCGCGCCGCTTCATGATCTATGTCCACTCCAAGATGATGATAGGTAACAACAACTACTAGTTGCAAATTTCAACCACTACGGTTAAACTCGCTCTAAATTTCACACCGAATTCAATGTTTTTCTTTTATCAGTTGATGATGAGTACATCATCGTCGGGTCGGCCAACATCAACCAGCGGTCGATGGACGGCGGGCGGGACTCGGAGATCGCCATGGGAGCGTTCCAGCCACACCACCTGAACGTCAATGGGCAGGCTGCGAGAGGCCAGATCCATGGCTTCCGGATGTCGCTGTGGTACGAGCACCTGGGGATGCTGCACGACGACTTCGTGCACCCGGGGAGCCTGGAGTGTGTCCGGAGAGTGAACGCGATGGCCGACAGGCACTGGCAGCTGTACGCCGGCGAGGAGCTCCACGGCGACCTCCCCGGACACCTGCTCACCTACCCGGTCGCCGTCGAGAAGGACGGCGGCGCCGTGACGGCGCTCCCGGGCGCCGAGTTCTTCCCGGACACGGAGGCGAAGGTGATCGGGACATTGGCGTCGTCGGCGTACATGATCCCCTACCTCACGTCGTAGAGTGTTGCTCTGAGTGTGTGATCGAGTTGCCATTCCTGCACACTGCTAGAGTGTTGCTCTGCTTTGGGTTTGGGCAGAGTTTGTTGTTTCAAGCAATGTAATCTATCTCCGGTTGAATTCTACAGCTCTATGTAGTGTTCTGTTCTAATATGAATTATGTTCATCGGCTTATTTCAAGTTGACAGTTTATGAATTTTACGATTCTTGGGAGGTAACAATTTGTTTTATGGCCGTGTTTAGTTCACCTCAACTACCCAAAATTTCTAACTTTCCATTACATCATATCACATCAAAAACTTTCCTACACACATAAACTTCCAACTATTTTTCGAAACTCCCAACTTTTCCCAAACTTTCAATTTTTTTCAGGAACTAAACACACCCTATACCTCCTGTTACAGTGTTACCTAAGAAACCAATGCTGGGTTGTACTAAATCTTGCATTATAAAAATGTATTAGCTTCTTATACCTCATAGCAAAATCACTCTTGAAAGTTTTAGCTTGGTCATAGTCTTTTTAGCAAGCATTAGTCATCCTAGGAGGCTAGGAGTAATGTATCAGTTTTTTTTTAATTGCTGTCGAGCATATGTTACATTACACTGGCTTGGATGGCTTTAAAATTTACTGGATTTGCTAGTCCTATATGACATTTGGTGGAAATTCTGGGGTAAAACGGTGAATGCTGGATTACTCTGGGTTGTAAAAAAATATAGAGCGGTTAGGAGATTTCAGATTTAGTTATATGATGGGAAACATGAGGTTAAATTATTCATTTTGCCTTGTTTTTTTCAACCACTAAGTGAGATACTGAGGTGTCTTGCTACGGAATATATGTATGAATATATTCTAAATATTATAAAAATAATAAATAGATATGTTAAAATATTATGGAAATGATGTGGGGGTGATGATTAAATATGCTTGTATTTTGATTTGTAGAATTCAACAAATTGTAGATGATGATGTTGTATGCTTGCACGAGATTTGATATGTAATTATTGTTAGTGGATGATGATGTGTTCTATGTTTTAGTGGATGTGATGACTTTTGGACGACTACGGCGTACGCAGTGTTAGCAACATGCTATACGTCATACCAAGCTTCACGCCGTCATGTAGTGTGTTGCTCTGCCGTTTCGGTCATACGCCGATTGGATGGAGAAGTCGTACATATAGCAGGGTTCATTTGGAGCTTTCCTTTTATCCAGGATCCAGTGCCCATCCACTTTTGTTTCCTTTCAATATTGGTGCTGTACAAGTACTTACAAAGATTAATTTAACTTAAAGTTATACAATATTGCTAAAAGAATACTTCATCCGTTTCATAATGTAAGTCATTCTAGCATTTCTCACATTCATATTGATGTGATTCACATCAATATGAATGTGAGAAATGCTAGAATGACTTACATTTTAAAACGGAGTGAGTACTAAGTTATAAATACAATATAAGCTTTCAAACTTACAGTGTAATTACATGTAATTTAGAGTGTAACAAAAATTTAACTCTTTTTCGTTGAAAGATGTGGGACCTTAAATGTAGCCCATTCTTTTTCTAAATGAGTACTGCTATACATATATACGTATGTGCTGGACCTATTGATTGGACGTACTATGCATAACAATTTACTATTACCTCCATTTCATATATATGTTAATAAATACTGACATATATTCATTAACATATATGTAAATGTGGGTAATAGAAAATTTTATAACTTGAAACTGAGAAAGTAGTCCTTTCTAAGTTCTCACTAGTCAACTAAATTCTCACAATCTTTTAATAACTCTGAAGAATAGACCCAAGCTAGATACCGAAAGCGCAAGTCATTGGATTCCTTTACGTCTGTCTCCCCGTCTTTGGGAATAAGAAACTATTGCTCCGATCGGCCAGTTCCTCCACGCTGCATCCACTATAAAATGCATCGTTAATTTCCTCCTGTGAAGCGTTTGCTCATCATGCATGCGTTCATGCCACACGGTTAATTAACATGTGCAGCAGATCAATCAACATGCGAATCAAAAGCTCACAGTGTCACAGGTACACACACCTGTGTTCTTGTGAATTCTGATCGTTTTTCCATGCATGGGCTCCGTTCTGCTTTCTTGTGCACCGGGAGCTGTGCGTGGTGGCGAATCTCGTACTACACCGAGCTTGACCTCCAGCTCCACGATCTACAGCGACTGAACGGCATGTGGTTGCGATTGCGATTGCGATGCGGATGCGTACGCCTCGTTTATGCTCGTGGTGGGCAGTCCTGGACCCCCCAATTGTGCCTTCTGGTGGTCTTTGTCTGTCTTGTGGTTGACACTTTGTTGGTGACCTGGTGTCACGGTGGTGTGTGTGTGTGTGATAGTGTGATACTCCTAGATGATTAGATGCGTGGTTAGTGGGCACATTTCCACCGATTTTTCTCATCTCCGAGTAATCACTACTCAGTACTTCCACCGTTAAAAAAAAACAATCAAGATAAGGATTTGATACCACTTAAAACAATGAATTTGGATACTCTCTCCGTCAAAAAAATCAACCTAGATCAAGATATGATAATCTTGACCTAGGATATAGTTTTTCGGAGGGAGTACTCATTAGTCAATTTCAACAATAGGAAACGACGTATTTATAGAATACAACTTTAGGTCATGAGACATAGCGGCGAATCTATGGAATAATATGGAATGTGGGTCCATCAGTAGATACTCGTCGTTAACAAAACCACTTCTAGATATGAATATGGATATGACTAGTGTGTTTAAGTTATCATCGTCGTTGCATGTTACTATAGTGACTTGCTACGGGGTATTTCTACTGTCCCATAAATTATAACCATGCAAACGGGAAGGAGATCAAAGGTCTTAACTCCCCAATAAAAGCTGAGTTCGTCTGTGGGTGTTCCAAACTTCTCTCCTTCGTTTTCCACACGCGCACGCTTTCCAAACTGCTAAACTGTGTGTTTTTACATTAAATTTTATATGAAAGTTGTTTTTAAAAAATCATATTAACCCAATTTTTAATTTTTAGCTAATATTTAATTAATCGTGCACTAATTCATTGCTCAGTTTTCTATGTCGGAAGGTGAGTGTTCAGTGTTCACAACCCTCACCCATCTTTAGCACGGCTTTGGACTCATTTTTGTTTTAAGTTGGATATTACTAGCTTTACAAATTTATGGATCTAGATTTTCAATTACATTGATAACATTTGAATAAATCATTTCATTCCTATTTTATATGAAGTTTAGAATTTTTTTTTCTTTTACACAATATAATTTAGCATACAAACTTTAAATCTACCCCGAATATCAAATTCGAAGGCATGCCAAATAGGACTTAAGTTAATTGGTTTGTTAAAATGGTTCAAAATGGTTCAAAGACAACAAAGTTTAATCCCTGCCAATATTGTATTTTTCTTTTACCAAAGCCTTCCCATGTTTTATTAGTTTCTTGTCTTGATCCGTCCCCAAATCCTCTATATTAGAGCAAGTTTAATAGTATAGCCAACTACTGACTCTAAATCATAAAATAGTTAATTCATACAATAGTTACCTATAAACATATACTACTATACAAGTAATATCTGGTCCCACCTATGATACACACATTGCGTCTTATAGTCTGTGCTACAGGTGGCTACAAATCTATTGTCCGCTGCTCTTATCTCTTCTCATTTATTTACTCCATATATGTTTATAGCTGGCTTATAGTCTGTTATTGTACTAACTTATTTACATAGTAGAAACTCCACATAAATTAGTTAATATTCTGTATGAAGCAGCCCTTAACTTCTTCCCAAAATTCTCCCTTTAACTTCTTTCCAATTTCCCAAATATTTTCTGTTCCAACTTTTTTTACGGGATTTTCCGATCCGACATTAATAACTATCCCAAACGCCACGTCTTTTTCTTTGGAGCAAAGGAAATCAAAATAAAAGGCTAGAATCTCTCCTTTTCCATTTCCCTCTCCTAATTGGACGCTTTTCGCCTTGTTGGTGCACTGTCCCCTTCGTCTCGGAGGGAAGCTCGTATTGGACGCGCCGCGAGCAGGTGACGTCAGCGGCAGCGGCGGCGGCGGCGGCGGGCGGCGGCGGAGCCGAGGAGGAGCGACCATGGCTCACCTGCTGCTGCACGGCACGCTCGAGGCCACCATCCTCGAGGCCGACCACCTCTCCAACCCCACCCGCGCCACCGGCGCCGCCCCCGGGATCTTCCGCAAGGTCAGTCGAATCCCGCTCTCTCTTCGAGCTCAAAATCGATCCAATTTAGTGGTGAGAGATTTTTGGTTGGAGCAATCCAAGAGGAGGCGCGAATTTTGGTGTTGGTTTGATTTTTGAATCCGTTCGTGCAGTTCGTGGAAGGGTTCGAGGACTCGCTGGGGCTCGGGAAGGGGGCGACGCGGCTGTACGCGACGATCGACCTCGGCCGGGCGCGGGTGGGGCGGACGCGGGTCGTCGACGACGAGCCGGTGAACCCGCGGTGGTACGAGGTGTTCCACATCTACTGCGCCCACTTCGCCGCCGACGTGGTGTTCTCCGTCAAGGCGGCGCAGCCCATCGGCGCCACGCTCATCGGCCGCGCCTACCTCCCCGTCAGGGAGCTCCTGTCCGGCGAGGCCATCGAGCGCCGCCTCGACATCCTCGACGCCGGCAGGAGGAGGATCTCGCACGGGCCGACGATACACGTGCGGCTGCAGTTCCGCGACGTCGCCGGCGACCGCCATGGGTGGGGCAGGGGCGTCTCCGGCGCGCGGTACCCCGGCGTGCCGTACACCTTCTTCTCGCAGCGCCCCGGGTGCAGGGTCACCCTGTACCAGGACGCGCACGTGCCCGACGCGTTCGCGCCCAGGATCCCGCTCGCCGGCGGCGGGTACTACCGGCAGGGGCGGTGCTGGGAGGACGTGTTCGACGCCATCAGCAACGCCAAGCACCTCATATACCTCACCGGCTGGTCCGTGTACACCGAGATCACGCTCATCCGTGACGGCACCCGGCAGCGCCCCGGCGGCGACGCCACCCTCGGCGAGCTCCTCAAGCGCAAGGCCAGCGAGGGCGTGCGCGTGCTGTTGCTGGTCTGGGACGACCGCACCTCCGTCGAGTCGCTCGGCATGAAGTGGGGGTTCATGTCGACGCACGACGCCGAGACGGCGGACTACTTCCGCGGCACCGACGTGCGCTGCGTCCTCTGCCCGCGGAACCCCGACGCCGGCCGGAGCGCCATCATGGGCGCGCAGATCGCCTACATGATCACCCACCACCAGAAGACCGTCATCGTCGACCACGACATGCCAGTGCCGCGTGGCGGTGGCAGCCGCCGCATCGTCAGCTTCGTCGGCGGCCTCGACCTCTGCGACGGCCGCTACGACACGCAGTTCCACTCCCTCTTCCGGACGCTCGACACGGCGCACCACAGCGACTTCCACCAGCCCAACCTCGACGGCGCGGCCGTCACCAAGGGCGGGCCGAGGGAGCCATGGCACGACATCCACTCCAAGATCGAAGGCCCCGCGGCTTGGGATGTGCTCTACAACTTCGAGCAGCGGTGGAGGAAGCAAGGCGGTGACAAGGACCTCCTCCTAGACCTCAAAGCCATGGCCGACCTCATTATTCCGCCGTCTCCGGTGATGTTCCCCGATGACGGTGAGGCCTGGAGTGTTCAGTTGTTCCGGTCCATCGATGGCGGCGCCTGCTTTGGCTTCCCTAGCACTCCAGAGGCTGCTGCAAGATCAGGCCTTGTCAGTGGCAAGAACAACACCATTGACAGGAGCATCCAAGATGCATACATCCACGCAATTCGCCGCGCCAAGAACTTCATCTACATCGAGAATCAGTACTTCCTTGGCAGCTCATTTGCATGGAAAGCCGATGGCATCAGACCAGAAGACATTGAGGCGTTGCATCTGATTCCCAGAGAGATTTCTCTGAAGATTGTGAACAAGATTGAAGCTGGTGAGCGTTTTGCAGTCTATGTTGTGCTGCCAATGTGGCCTGAAGGACCTCCTGCTAGTGGATCAGTGCAGGCAATACTGGATTGGCAGAGGAGGACAATGGAGATGATGTACTATGATATTGCCGTTGCACTTGAGGCGAAGAGGATCAATGCTGACCCGAGGGATTACCTTACCTTCTTCTGCTTAGGGAACAGGGAAGTAAAGTTGAATGGTGAGTATGAACCTGCAGGTCGCCCTTTGGATGGCACAGACTATGCTAAGGCACAGAAGGCACGCCGGTTCATGATCTATGTTCACTCCAAGATGATGATAGGTATGCTTAAAAACATTATTGTCACAAGTTCTCTAAATTTACTCCAGATTGCAGCTGACACATGATCTTTTTTGCATTGTTTAACATCTTTAAGAATTCACAAATCAGAATCGCAGCACCTCTTATGGATCTCCAATGTCCCATTTTATGTTTATACACTCATAACTACTTGCCCCAATTTCGACACCCACATGTTAGGAAAGACTTTTACATCACAGTTCAATTTCCTTGTCACTAGGCAACATACGCAATTACTTCATTCCTTGTTGTAAGATAGACAATATATTGTCACTGGCTCTTATTTCAGTACCTGTGCTTTGATGACATGCTTCATGTTGATAAAGATAAATTTGTTGGAACTTAATATCCTTGGTTTGTTTCAGTTGACGACGAGTACATCATTGTTGGATCTGCCAACATCAACCAGAGGTCCATGGATGGGGGCAGAGACTCCGAGATCGCCATGGGTGCATTCCAGCCATGCCACCTGAACACCAAGGGCCTGGTTGCAAGAGGACAAATCCACGGTTTCCGGATGTCGTTGTGGTATGAGCACCTTGGCATGCTGCATGACAACTTCCTGAACCCAGAGAGCCTGGAGTGTGTTCAGAGGGTGAACAAGATGGCTGACAAGTACTGGGACCTCTACGCGAGCGATGAGCTTAACGATGACCTTCCTGGGCACCTGCTGACCTACCCGGTACGTGTTACGAAGGAAGGCACGGTGACAGAGCTCCCAGGAGCGAAATTCTTCCCTGACACTCAGGCTCCAGTGATCGGCACGAAGGGGAACCTGCCTCCCTTTCTCACCACATAGAGTAGCAAGATTCAGATTGTGCTGCATAATTGGAAACCTTGCACTGTTGGGTGGTGCTTCTAGATATGTAATTTCCAGCCCAATAATAGGGTGTCACGCCTATTTCTAGTCAAAATTTGGTTGATCAGTTGATGCTATTCTTTTGCACGAATCATGATTTTCCTCATGGGAGTACTGAAATAATAGGCATGTTTTGTTGGAGATTTGACCTGAATATACATACTACTGAAGTCTTGGACAACTTGGTGTTGTGGCACATTGTGTCAAAAGCTTGGTACGTACTTTAGTAGAGTAGGTTTTACCTGTGGGATTCAAGACAGCTTTGAGTGGTGGTTGTCAGCTACACATGGTCAATGTGCCTGTCTGGAGAAATTTTTTCTGCATGAACTGTATATCTCCTTTCCAATCTTTGAATTGGACAAGACAGAGCAGACTTGTAATCTTGAGTCAAACCATGCTGCTTTCTCCAAGTTTTAATACATGGACAAGGATTTCTATACTTGACAGTAACAACGTCACATTCTGGGAAAAGGTAGTAGGAGCAGTAAGTTTCAGAAGCATGTTTACCTTTTTAATATCACTGGCCAGTGACCAGAATTTGAAATTTCTATATCACTGGCCAGTGACCAGAATTTGAAATTTCTAAGTGAACTGTTTACCTTGAATTTTCTTTCACTAGGTCGGTGCTTTTTCTAGATTGATAGTTTCAGCAGTGAAAGCTATCTCACATTACAGTTAGCCTATCACCTTCTATGCACTGCTTGTAGTCTGAATTTGGTTGGCCAACTTGTCTGGAATTCTGAAGATTTCAGCTGGTCCTAGCATTTGCCTGAACCAAGATACATCCTGGTAGTACTGAAAATTGTAGGTATGCTTTGTTGAAGAGTGACTTGCTCATTCAGCTTCAGCAGTGAAAGCTACCTCGCATTACTCTGACCCTATCACCCCTATGCTATGCTTGTAGTCTGAAATTGGTTAGCCAGCTTATCTGAAAGTCTGAAGATTTCAGCCGGTCCTAGCATTTTGCATGAACCAAGATCCATCCGGGGAGCACTGAAAGTTATAGGTATGCTTTGCTGGAGAAATGGAGAGTGACTAGCTCATTAGCTGTTCAGACTTGACTTGACTCCTGGATAGTTAGGTAAATCAATAGGTGACACATTGGGTCAGAAGCTTTAGTACTTCTATTACCTTTTGCCAGTGTGCTTATCCTTGTAAATTGTAATTTCCCTGACCTATTGTCGGAATTCAAGTATATTCTTGGCTTGAAGGCTTGAAGTTGCCTCTGACTATGCCAATGCTTATTACTCACTGCTGTGTGATTCTCTGAAGATCAAGAAGCACTTTTCTCATGTTATAGCTCTGTTGCAGAGGAACCTCCCTGTCAGAGTGTCACCCTCTCAGATGCTGCTTGTTGCACCAAATTTTGGTGCTGATCTGGTCTTTCAGTTGTAACATGGAAGTTTTGGAGAAAATGGTAGCCAGACCTGCTCTGCTTTGGACCAGCTGATGCTTCCCAGCTTTCCTGCTTTTGCCATAGTCTTTGGTCATTTCCCTTTCTTCTGTATTAAGCCTATCCCTTTCCATATTTATTCCCCATTTCTCAGTGTCCATACATCCTCCAAACAAAATAAGCCAAACGTTGGCATGATTGAGATTCCAGGGGAAATATTTAAGGTGCAAATTGGGCAGGACGCTACAAAGATCGTTCGAGATGAATAGGATCGTCAGGTCACTATTAACCATGGATTCCCCGTTGAAAATATTTCTTTGTAATAAACTGAAGCCTACACCATTATCTAAACAAAAACTCAGCCTACATCATGTAGATCATGAATTTTCATTTTTGGGGTTTATTTGTAATCTTTGCAGGGAGAGTGAAAATTTTCCAGGCCCTGCTCTTTTCTGTTATCATGTTTTTCAAATTGTTAAATAGTATGTTTTTTAAAAAAAAAGTTCTATATATAAGTTATTTAAAAAAATTAAATAAATCTATTTTTTAAGTTTATACTATAGTTAATACTTAATAAATTATGTGCTAATGAGTTTGTCGTTTCTTGTGCGTGGAAAACTTTTCCTACAATATGAGACTCAGCCAAGTATGATATTGGTCAATCATACTAGCTCAAAATAATTGTAATTGCTATTTGAAATACTTGTACTAGGAATTTGTTTAATATTAGAACCGGAGTACCTGGACCTACCTTAGATATGATTCTTGAATTAGGCACCTATCTATCACAGCTCATTCTCACATGCGTACAAAACGATGGGGCTGAAAATAAGCACGAGGTGGTTGTACAGGACGGTAGGTATTTTAAGTAGTATTAGCAGCAGCTATTACATGCGTCCCATATTACTTGTCTTTTTGAGTTTTTGTTTGTCAATGTTTAATCATTTGTCTTATTTAAAAAAAATTGAATTATTATTTATTTTGTTTGTCAATTGCTTTATTATCAAAAGTACTTTACATATGACTTATCTTTTTTTATATTTGCATTAATTTTTCAAATAAAACGAATAGTCAAACGTTACAAATAAAAAGTCAAAAACGTCACTTATTATGAGACGGAGGGAGTAGAAACAAATCTCGTGATCACACCATCATACATCACTGTCCATCAGTCTCGAAATCAGAATCACTTGCACTTCGCTGGCTCGATCAAATGTATTCAGACACCAGCAAGATACACGAAGGGGACTACTAGCATTCACAACTCGCACGAGGTTGGACCATCCACCCGACCTATATGCAGGAGGTGGTCTTAGCACTCAAGGGAAAAAAATATAAATATATGAGATTTTCTTTTCTAAGGCCCCCTTTGATTCAAAGGAAATTTATAGGAATTTTAGAGGATTTTATTCCTATAGGAATTTTTCCTACAAAACCCTTTGAATCAAAGGAATGAACCCTATGGAATCATATGAAATTCCTATGGAATGCCTCTTCCCATATAAGTTTTGGAGGAATTTTAACAAGAGGTAGAACCTTATGGAAGAAATCCTTTGAGTCTTTATCTCTCCTCAAATTCCTACGTTTTTCCTGTGGTCCAATCAAACGGTCATTCCTATGTTTTTTCTGTGTTTTGCAATCCTCTGTTTTACACTTACATTCCTGTCAGAATCCTATGTTTTTCCTATTTCTCCGTTTTTTCATTCCTGTGATTCAAATGGGCCCTAAAATTGTTTCTTTTATCAGGTTGCTTCTTCTCTACCGAATCATACCAACATACCAACATACCAACAAATATCTAATTCTTTTCTACCTCTCAATTGAACTGTCTCGACGAGTGCTTTCTATGGATACAAAACGTTCACCTTAGACTATCGATGCTATTCAACGGTTCTATCGGGTTGGTATTTTACGTGTAGGGTTTGTGATGTGAAGGTCCGAAGGGTGTTTGGGAGATGGCATGCTTAGAGAGCGACTGAGGAGAAGACAATCCAGTGAAGGGTAGCGAGTTCAATGTGACACGACGTGTCGGTGACACCAATGTAGCTAAGTCCTATGGACAATGGCAAGTGATGTAGGTGGCGGTGCCATGACAGGTCTAACGAGACACGAGATGTAACATGAGCATAATTTTTATCAACCCCTCATTTTTTCTCACAGTCAGAAAAAGAACCATGCCAATAAAGTCTTATCGAAAATGTTTCATGTGATTATGTCATAGTGCTAGTATTATATTTTAAAAAAAATCTTTTCTACTCCGTCTAATGTTGTTTAGGATTAATAATGGTATATAGAAAATAGTAAACATATAAGATATAAATATTGTAGTGTCAATGCAATATTATTGTTTTTATTGTCTTTTTTTCTTTATATTTCCAAAACTACCTCCAGGCTTCTTGGAATGGAACTGCGGAAGAATTCATTCATTTCAAATAGTATTGTTTATTATTCGAGAAAAGATCTCCACGTGACCACGTGGATATCTAACCATCCGTCCCCCATCGCACGGCACCCGGCTGCCCATACCGATCCAGCCGCGCGCCCCTCCCACACATACGGATTTTTCCCGTATTCCATGAGCCCCAAAAAATACGGTATTCCAATACGTATACATACATACATACATACATACATACATACATACATACCGTATGCAGCCTCTCACATCCACGTATATTCCCTTCCCCTTCTCCAACCTTTCCTCCTCTTTCCATTCCCATTCCATTCCCCAAACCAACCCAACCCACCACCACCACCACCGGCGCCGCCGCCGCCGCCGCCTCCCCCTCACCCCCATTCCTTCCTCGCCGCCGGCGCCATGCCCGGCGCGGCGGTCCACGCGGTGGACCCACGGGGCGGCGCCTCCCCGCCCCCCGTCGCCAAGGCGGAGGCGGCGACGGCTGCAGCGGCGGCGGCGGGAGGGTGCGAGCCGGCGCGGAAGGCGGGGGCGGTGACCATGGAGCACGTGCTGCTGGCGCTGCACGAGACGGAGGCGGAGAGGGAGGCGCGGATCCGGGAGATGTTCGCCTTCTTCGACGTGGACGGGCGCGGGCAGCTGGACTACGCGCAGATCGAGGCCGGGCTCGCCGCGCTGCAGATCCCCGCCGAGTGCAAGTACGCGCGGGAGCTGCTCCGCGCCTGCGACCGCGACCGCGACGGCCGCGTCGGGTACGACGACTTCAGGCGGTACATGGACGACAAGGAGCTCGAGCTCTACCGCATCTTCCAGGCCATCGACGTCGAGCACAACGGCTGCATCCTCCCCGAGGAGCTCTGGGACGCGCTCGTCAAGGCTGGTATGTATGCGCTCGCCTCACCTTCACCCTCACCTTCCGCAGCCATTGATCGCCTCCTTCCCGTGCTGTCACACGTCGCTCCGCTGTCCGTATTCTGACGTGTTCGGCGAAATGTGGTTTCAAACGCATTATTACTTTACTTGATTGTTGCTGGATGCTCGTGGTGAATTTGTAGCCATACATTGGAATTGTTCCTTTTTTTTGGTTTTGGTTTACTCGATGGGTAGATGTGTGTTGTAATGTTTGAAGACGGGAAGAAGTCCTTATGCGGCGAACAATGTACTGATACCAATGGAGCTTAATGGTACTTGTAGGGAACATTCAATAAGGCGGTAGGCACTAGATGGTCGGCATGTCCAGTACCTAGGTCCAACGCGACTAGTGAAACCAAGCAATTAGTGAGCATATCACATAAAAGTTAAGACAATAGAACACTAAAATATGAGCACAAGAGCCCTCAAGGATAGTTCGGTTGACTAAAGCACCATATAATGCCTAATTGGTGCGGCCACCGGGCACCTAGCGCCCAATAGTCACCTAGGTGGTACACTGGTACCTAGCCTAGGGCTGAGTTTTAGAACAGTGTCATCTACTGACATTGAGTAGTGGAACCTTGGGAGCATCTGAAAATTTTCAGTTAACATGCTACTAGATTTTGTCCATTTTCCCACAATATTTGAGGAAGGATTGAGCCTAACCACTTAGTAGTGGCATGACTATGATCCTACGGGATCACGTTTCACTAGTGCAATGTGAACTTGGATCTCTGAAATCATTTTCCTATCAGTATTGCATATTATTGCCTGCTGAATGTAATTATTCTGTAGTTAGATTCACTGGAACTAGGGCTGATCAACATAAGACATTGTATTTGCCATCACATCAAACAGGATAAGCCTTGTATTTGCCACCGCTCACAGGTTTTCATATTAGGTGTTCATCTACCATATATAAGTGTTGAAGCTCATAGAATCCAATCCTATTGATGCGTTGCATTTGTCCTAAATCCTCTCTTGTTAAGCAGTTCCACATATTGAGTTCCATATTTTATTAGATTCATTACAATAACCTGCTTCCACTGAATAAGTTGAATTGGTTCCTCATTTTTTGACTGATTAATGTTGGATTTTATGCTTCGTTAATCTTGTGATATATAGTTATGAGAGCAAATATATAGCCTCAAAGACTTATCAGTTTCTTGTTAGATATTAGATTGTCACAGAGTCCAAAAACTGGAGGCAGTTTAAGAGTGCAAACGTTTTAGTTATTTTCCTTATTCCCTGTTCAAGGCGAACTCTATTAGTTTCAGAAGACTGAATCCCTTATTGATACAGCATATAGATCCAAGACTATGTTCCCATACTAAGACTTTCGTAGTATAGGCAACCGAATTTGAGTGCCTCAGGTGAAGTCGAAGCATTCTCACATGATAAAATCACTTCAAGAAGGTGGCTGAAGCAGCTTCCAATCAATTGGGCCCAAACTTTTGGCCTTGCATAATTAGTGAAAGATGGCCATGGTGAGTACCATGTTCCTTTTTCAAATTTTAGCACGGGGTATATGAATTCGATTTAGAGGTAATTGTAGCTGGCCAATGCATTATCTAAGTGGAATTCCTTAAGGTGAATTTAGGTAGGCGGTATATTTATGATTTGTTTTGAACTGGTACGGAGTAACATACTAGCTTGACTTGAGAACTAATAATGATAAAACTGGTATATCAGCTATACCTTCTCATGCCAAAGCTTGACGTGGATGATTTTTGTAATAGAATATTTCTCAAAAGGCTGAGAAGAAAGATTAAATGTGGTAGGGCGGTCTTTGTTCAGGAAGTTTTTTTTGCATTGAACATTTAGTTAAGATGGTTTTAATTTCAACCATATCACGGAGCAATTCATATTAGATTACAATTCTTCATTCAGAGTTGAAAACACTATCATCTTAAGTTCTTAACTTCATGTGATCATATTTTTGTCTCAAGTATGACCAAAAATAATTTTCTTTCCTATGGATGTTGAGCTTGCAGGAGAGCACAATCTGACTTTGCATTATTTAGCTATACCTTATTAATTTATGGTATCTTCTACCAAAAATATACCTTCTGTCAAATTTAAAAAAGCATACACATTGTTTGCTTCCTTGGTTCTGCTTTGCCTGAAGTCTTAAATATATTCATAGTTGGGTTATTTAGAGATTTTATTGTTTGCACATCCATAATATATCTTACAAGCAATGTCAGCTTGTTGTTTGCAGGTATAGAGATTGATGATGAGGAGCTTGCACGGTTTGTCGAGCATGTGGACAAGGACAACAATGGAATTATTACTTTTGAAGAGTGGAGGGACTTTCTTTTGCTATATCCTAATGAAGTAACCATTGAGAATATTTATCATCACTGGGAAAGAGTATGTCTTGTAGATATAGGTGAACAGGCTGTTATACCAGAAGGCATAAGTAAGTCGGTCAATGCAAGTAAATATCTGATTGCAGGAGGGATTGCAGGTGCTGCATCTCGTACTGCAACTGCACCTCTTGACCGCCTTAAAGTGATCATGCAAGTACAGACTACACGAACTACAGTCATGCATTCAATTAAGGATATATGGAGCCAGGGTGGCATGTTAGCATTTTTTAGAGGGAATGGATTGAATGTTGTGAAAGTTGCTCCAGAAAGCGCAATAAGATTTTATGCCTATGAAATGCTGAAAGAATATATTATGAAGAGCAAAGGAGAAAATAAGAGCGAAGTTGGTCCTTCTGAACGTCTTGTAGCTGGTGGTTTGGCTGGTGCAGTAGCACAAACAGCAATTTATCCCGTAGATTTAGTGAAAACACGACTGCAGACTTATTCATGTGTGGATGGTAAAGTACCTAGTCTTGGTGCATTGTCAAGGGATATATTGATGCACGAGGGTCCTCGAGCATTCTATAGAGGTCTGGTTCCATCTTTGCTTGGTATTGTCCCTTATGCCGGAATTGATCTTGCTGTATATGAGACATTGAAAGACGTATCCAAGACATATATCCTGAAGGATAGTGGTGAGCCTCCATTCAGAAACTGTTTCTGTTTCCTACCCTTTTGCTTTTCAACTCCGTTTCTTGATTCTTGAATTTTATCATGGTTGTGTAGATCCTGGTCCTCTAGTACAACTGGGCTGTGGGACTGTATCAGGAGCCTTGGGGGCAACATGTGTTTACCCTTTACAGGTTATCAGGACAAGGTAAGAATGCATTGTCGACTTGTAAAGAAAAGAAGCAAACACACACTCTTTCTCAACAGTACTTTTAAATCTTTGTAGACTGCAAGCTCAACGAGCCAATTCAGAATCTGCATATAGAGGTATGTCTGATGTATTCTGGAGAACGCTACAGCATGAGGGTGTTTCTGGATTCTACAAAGGAATCCTACCAAATCTTCTTAAAGTGGTGCCTGCAGCAAGTATTACCTACCTAGTGTATGAAGCAATGAAGAAAAATCTCTCCCTTGATTGAATTACGGAGCTGTTTGGCAAATCGGCCATCATTTATTGACATGGCTGACTGTAGAGATAATGACGATACATGATTTTACTGGTTAAGTAGCTACTTTTTTGAAGTGCAAGACGGTGCCTTCAGGACAGAATTTGAAGCTATGGTGGCATCTCTCTTAATTTTCATTTCCCAGAAATGAAGCGATAACCATCAGATCATTGAGACATCTTTGCTGGCGTACTGGTACAATTCCTAACTGTCATGTTATATCACAACAGTTATACTTGACATGCCCTTCTGTTCTTTATAACAACTCCTTTTTGTACATACACAACTACTTTATGCTGCTGCACATACTTGGAAGTGAATAGTGAACAACATAGCTTATATTAGCAGCCACAGCGACTAGAGCTGATGATGTTTCTTAGGAGTTAGCTTATGTAATTATGCTTAATCAGCAAGCTTGAAAACTGAGCATTTTGTCCTTTTTTTCCCTTGATCCTGTGACAGAGAAACCCAGTGGGTACTGGAAGCTAAATGCCTAAAATTTGCTGATCCTGGTGTACAGTTTAACTGTGCTCATATGGATAGTTAATACTCTATAATACTTTAGTCTTCTAGAAGTGGAACATACTGTAAGAGACAGCTATCGTATGCATAACTTTTTTTTTGTATCATAGCTGAATACACCTTGGTATCATGAATAGACTTCAAAAAAAGTGAAAGACTTGAAAAGGACTATGTTAATACTTTAGTTTATTATTTAGTTAAGCTGCAGGATATTCAGAGGTATGAGTATGGACCCAGTATAAGTTAAATGTGTGTGCATATTAATGGCCAAAGTAAGATCGAATTTGACTGATACTAGATCTGGAATCAAATATGTTAATGGCCAAAGAACCTGAAAGGTACAGACGGAAATCCATTCCATACTGTTTTTGCAGCTAAATCTGCTTGCTCGTCCTCCTCCTCCGATCTTGTCTATTACATTAATGCACACAAGAGAGCGTCTAAACATTAGGACATTTCAATTTCATTATATGTGCCAATCACGGAATCACCTGCCGTGGAAGTGACTAAATATTTTTTTTTCCTGTTAATAATATTTGTATGTCCTGGAATATCAATGGGATCAGTTCTGTTTGGAAGCATGATCTCTATATGACTTTATAAGGTGATGAAATGAAATGTTGTTTGCTTTGAATGAAGAAACATTATTAACTTGTATAGAATAGTTAGCTTGAAACGTTATGAGATTTGTGGTCTATTTTGTCTCCTTGAAAACCGTATGTATAAGTGGTACTTCTGTTCTAGATGCCCTGGTACTTCAAAATAATAGGAATAAAAACAACAATTTAATTATCTTTTCTTTGTTATGAGCCTTGATTCCAGATTTCAGGACTTGGGAGCATTGCCGTGGCAAACTAGTACTAAGTATGCCCAGAGTTTAACGAATCTTAGTTTGTACTCATTGTCCCATACAATTCATGCAACTGATAACAAATATGCTTGTTGAAATCTGTCGAATATACAGCTGGCTCTTTTCATGTGTCAGGTTCTAATTGTATTATTGGAGCCAACTTCATAGCATTACTGCAATATTGTTTGCCAATAGTTTCAATTCCACTCCAAATGAACTATGTTACCTACTCTCTCTGTCCACAAATATAAGGGGATTTTAGCTATGCACCTGGGAGCACTTGTCCATGTATATAGTCAAAATACCTTATATGTGGACGGAGGGCCTGATCCTTGGTGAATTATGATACTGTTCTAATTCAAGAGTTAGTTTATGAACATGATAATTTGTTCAGTTATTTAAACTTGTAACTCATGTTCTCACAGATCTGGACAAATTCTCTTCTTTATGACTCATTTCCTTTACTTTTGACATTTCAGTAAGGCATCGTTTGCTCCGAGTTAGCTGGTCCTCGTGAATTCCTGAAGGCTTATTTTGCCCCTGTCCTGGGGTGAGTTTTGTTAGTCAAACTGTAAAACACAGGAAAACACTCTTTAACTTAATTTACCATTCCTTGTGCTCCTGAAATTAAAGAGGAGCTTGACCTTTACTGACGACGAAATTGCCCTGCAGAAAGGGTGCTGGTTATACATGCCTGTATTGCCCCTTGGCTACATGCCAAAAAAGTCAATGCCTACTGTATGTAATAATCTGCCAGCTTTACCAATATAACTTCCTTATGGTTACCCTGTTAAATGAATACGCAAATGACCCGGTGAGCAGTGTAAAGACGGTAAAATGCCCCTCAAATTGTATGTGTACATGTATATATATGTGCTTAGAAGTTAGAAGTTGATCCCTTTCTGGACTGCTTACATGGCAGTCTTCTCTTGTTCCATAAGCAGTGGTACTGTGGCTTGCTCCATACTTTCTGAACTGGCATTCTCAGAAACTTGTGGAAGTTTCAATAGCTGCCAACGTTTGTGCAGAGCAAGGAGATGGTGTGCTGTCAGCTGCCATTGTTGTTTACCTGTTGTTATCAGAACATCAGTGGTCACTCATGAGAGGCCTTGTGCTGCTGTGTGGCATGTAGATTGGATACTCCCAATTCAGATAAACTCTTGAGCAGCCATGTGTGCAGTATGATTAGAAGGAAGCTTCTTGATGAAAAGAGTTGAGTGCCTCGAGAGGTTGATGTTTCACAGTCTCTGGGTTGTTCTGGTCTTCTAGAAGCTCTCGCAGTTGGATGAAAGCTACTCGGTTGGAAGAGCTTGAGAAGTGGAGGGGAGCTGAACTGGGCAACCGGGGATGTAGACGTAGGGAGAAACCGGGCAGAAGCTTCCTGTTCCTGGTGCTAGCTGGTGATGCTGGCTACAGCCTCTTGCGTTGTCTCGTGTCTCTCGTCCACCCGCTTCTCCACTATCCCTTTTGGATTTAGAAATCGCCGTTTCTTGACCAGCTGACCGAGGTCTAGTGTTTATAGGCACGTGAATTGTTGCCAGAAATAACCTTAGTAAAGTTTGGCATTATGTTGTTACCAAATTTTAGTGATTATGGATGTATTTGTTTGTAGGCTTATCAAATTTTGATAGAGTTTAAAGTGGATGTATTTTGAAAACTACTAAAGTTTAATAGGGTAGCAACGGTAGTGGAAGCCACTCATAAGAACACATAGACGGAGACTATACTCCTCTCCAATAACACGTAGTGGCTTTAATTTTACAAGTTGCCCATATCAATTTCTATTTTAGTTCACGATATTATCTCAATTTATATACACTATGTCCATAATTTTACATTAAACACTCTAAAGATGGGGTATTAGCATAACCCTCCTCACCATTTCCCATATTCTCCTTTCTCTCCTGACATGCTCCTCCTTGGCACATGCCAACAAGCACTCTTGGGCACCGTCATCGCTTCATTTCTCCTCATATATGACCTCAACTTCTTCGGCCGACGAGCTAGCCATCAGCATAGATCAAGGCTGGTTAGGGCTGAGGAGATTATCGTCAGGTCGATTTTTCACCGTCAACCATCAAACAAGCAAAGACCTCGCTAAATCTGGTCATGAGCGTGCCAATGCTAGCTACAAACTTGTTGAATTTGGTCAGATCGAGGCGACGTGGAGCAACGAAATAATAAGATTAGGGTGGCGCAGAGGTAAATCGGTGCAACATCCATGGTGGTGGGCCCCTTTTCTCCCTCCCTCATCATCAGCCATCTTCCTCACCCTCTCTTCACTTGTCCCTGGCAGTGAGCACCGCCGCCTTCTTTCATATTTGACATATCTAACCATACTCCGCCTCTCCCTAGTTCCAGATTTGGCCTTCACTGCTTGGAACTCGAGGGTACGGCCTCACTCAATACGGTTTGTAAGTAGATCGTCTTAACTAGACACAAATTCCTTTTGCAAGACACGTGTAGCTCTGTTGTGGGGCATGGGCTTGACTAAAGTGGAGGCATGGCTCAGATGTGGTAAGCCGAAACCACAAATCTACTTGTCAGTTGTCATGTTGTTACCATGTGAATGGTCCTCTAGAAATAGAGAATTTCTTTATATCTGTCTGATGTAAAAAAAAAAACCTCACACGTGCTACTTCTATCTTAAAATAAATCAATTTAAGATTGGAGACATTACCTAAATCTACTATTATAAATCTGGAAAAAGAAACTTTTAATCTAATGTTAGATTGGTTAATTTTAAAGAAGGAGTAGGTTTTAGGATCCTAGCACTGCTAATTTTACGGTTTTACCACACCAAGCAGCGATGACCTCTCAATCTGATGAATTGAGATTTAGTGAAGTCCTAACTGTGACTGCAAGTTAGGAACTGCACATCATCTCAGCCATCCATTTTTTCAATGAACGGTCTAGATCTGATGCTACAATGTTGATGCTAGTTTTACAGTTTTTTTTTCGTGTGAACAATACTTGATAGATTTTGGACCCTCAGATTTACATCAAAAGGTCCTAATGTGACTGCTTATGTTGCAGTCACACTAGGTACTGCACCGGATCCAAATCCCAATCCCAATCTGCCGGGTCACCACAGAGGCGACAAGTGTCCCCAAACTCCCAACAGCGACGTCTCCCGGGACGCCCTAGAAGGACGGATCCTGTCACCACCACCACCACCGTACTCCTACCATAGGATCTCCCAACGTGACAGCCAGCGCGGGACCCTCCCTTCGATTTGCGTCACGGCACGGCAGCGATCTCTCTCTTTGCTATGCTTCGCTTTCTCCTCCGCTTTCGCACTTGGCAGGCGACGGGGAGAGCCTCTCCTCTCCTCTTTCCGTGACGAAGCCGTCGATGCCGCGGTCGGCCACCAATGAGATCATAGGCAGCAGGGACGCAGTACAAAAGGGGAGCCACAGCGTGTTGGGTTTTGTACTGCAAATCCCCGGGCGGATAGGGGATAAGAACAAGGACGCCTGGGAAAAGTAATCATCAGAGTGAGAGAGAGAGAGATAGAGAGAGAGGGCCCAGGTGTTTAAAAAAAGAGAGAGAGAGAGAGGGCCAGGGAAAAAAAAAAGCAGGTTGTAGGATTATCTAACACAAGAACACCAGGACAGCAGCTGAATCGACATACCTCGTGCAAACATTTCCCATGAGTTCATGCCAATTCTATATTTTCCAATTTCTTGTATTTTAGTGGTATTTTTTCTCTAAATTTTCTTTCTAAGGTTTTAGATCATTAGTTAACCCAATTCCAATCATTGATGTGTCACCGGGCACGGATAGCTTGTGTATTTTTAGCTATTTTAGATCATATTAATTATTATATTACTTTAAAAATTACTCCCTCCGTTTATAATTCGTTTCATATTATAAGTCATTTTTATTTTCTCATCAAACTTCTCTAAACTTTAATCAAGTTTATAGAAAAATATAATAACATTTGTAGCATTAATTTAATTTCATTACATCTAATATTGAATGTATTTTGATAGTTTATTTGTTTTGACTAAAAAAGGTCAAAATGAAACAAAGGTACTCCCTCCGTACTCGTAAAGTAAGTCGTTTGGACAGCGACACGGTCTCCAAAACACAACTTTGACTTCTTGTTTCTATAAATATTTATTGAAAAGTGATATATGTGTACTTTTATGAAAGTATTTTTCAAGACAAATCTATTCATATAATTTTTACATTTTCAAACTCAACAACTTGAGAGTTATTCATGATTTATATTCCTAAGGTTTGACTTAAACATTGTCCTAAATTACTTACTTTATAAGTACGGAGGGAGTACTATATAATAAGTATGTGGAGGACAAGATCCTCAAAAAAAAAAAAAAAAAGCTTCGCCACTAATTCGAATACAACTGAAGGTGATTATCTTTTCATGGTTTAAATGAAATTATTGTCACATGAGAAATGGACGATCTTTCCTACCAAGGATTTATAAATGGCATTGTTGGCTACTAGGTGTCCAAAATTTCCCAATTGGGGATAAATCTATGTAAACTCAAAAGTATAAGACAATAAATTGTCTTCAATTTGTGTCGACCTTGTTTTCTTGGTACATTGAGTACCCTAACCATTTTAACTAGTGAATTCAGCACAATGCTAGACAACAAAAGTAGTGCAAAAGGTTGTTCCTTCCATTACACATAAAAGGAAAAGAAAAGAGCTTCAAAAGAGCAATTGTTTGTACAAGAGCGCAAATAGTTGGGTTATAGTTCCACTCTAATTGGATACTCTAGGTCGTTGCAAGCAAGCATTTCCGATGCAATACTAGTACTATAGCTACCTATATCCCATAACTTCCAAAAGGGAAAAAGAACTCTGTATGTACGTCATCCATGGAATCTAGGATATTCCCATTTGCTAGAGTTTATTCATAACAAATCTTCCATTAGCTTCAATTGTTGAGCTCTTTCAACATCTCTTTCAAGAGACGTCAGCGTTTGGTCGATAGTGTCCCTTTTGTAAGTTGCGGTCTAACTAAGCTATCACAAGAGAACACGGCATAAAACATCGGTTTTTATCGGGAACTATAGGTGAATATTCATCCTGATTGGTTGCAGTGATCATTGGATACGATGTGACAATATTGAATTAGATTCTACTTCAACCATCCATATATTTCTTCACAGCATATATAGTTCAACTTCAGGAGATAGGAAGGTGGCATATTAACGGTTTAATTAAGTTGTCATATGTACTTTGTATATTCTTGAAGTCATGATGATATACCTATGCGAGAAGGAAACCAAGAAAATGGAATTGGATAATTCTAATAACACGCTCGTACGTTATAACATGCCCATATAAATAGAGATGAGTTAGAATGGTGATTGAGGACAAATCATTTAATCCAGTGGTTATACACACGTGGTGTGAGGAGGGGATGGAAGGAGATCGACTTTGCTTTTAAAGTTTTATAGAAATAATTAGAAAAAAAATCTTATTATCCTAAAGGATATATAGATGTACCTCACCCATTTTAGATACTGATTATGGATGTGTTCTCCATTAGCTAGCAGCGGCATGAAAAAAAGAAAAAGAGTGGCAAAAGTGCGGTTTGCTTGTCCTAGATCTCAAATAATTGGGTTAGGGTTCCACTTTAACTGGAATTGGATAATTCCAGTTGCAGCTAACAGTACACCTACATCATGCATGCTGCTCTATACGTCATACATGTATAATTTGAATTAAAAAAAGAGAGGCAAACATGAATTCAAGGATTTTTTTTCATTAATTAATCCTCCATTAGCTTCCTATTGGGCTCTTTTGGGGGCATCGATGTCAGCTTACATCGCCAAATGGGCGTCCTTTTTCGTTGCAAATTGCACGCGAAACCGCTACATAGGACAGCAGTTTCCGGCAGGTACAAGGGCCATTTGGCTGGACAAATAATATTCATTTGGTTAAGCTAGCTGATGCAATTAACGATCATTGGATCCGACGTGATGACGACGATGGAATTAATGGGATCCAAAACGTGACATAATTTAGGTTTTTCTAGGGAGATTTGGTCTGATTGATGGGAGAAGCTTGTGAAAGTCTAATACTTCCTGCGTTTCATAATGTAAGTCATTTTAGCATTTTCCATACATTAACAACAATATGAATATGGGAAATGCGAGAATGATTTACATTGTGAAACGGAGGGAGTACCTTGTAAGGTGCTGATCCGCTCAATAATACTTACAATAGTTAATAGTTTAGACCAGTACACTAGTCACAGGACTGTACATTTCAACAGAACCAGATCTGATGGACATAGTTCAATCTTTTCTCCCCCGTATTTTTCTGTGTTTTTTGGAATGGTTTTTTCTCTTAGTTTTTTTAAACGGTTTTTATTGTTTTTTCCTCCCTTTTTTGAACTGCTTTATATGATACACCTAGCAAGAGTAAGAGCTCTAACCTGTTTTTTTTTTCTGAAAGTATAGAGGTTGTAATAAAATCATAAACAAATTCGAGGACCTTGCCTTTTTTTTTCTTTTATTTACTAGTTGGAGCAAAAACCATACTGGCTGCAGAAATGAGAGGCAAACTAGATCATTTAAAGCAACTGGTAGCAAAGTAAAAGCATCAGGAGAGCCTGCATATGTTGTCCTACCTGCCCTGCTGCCAAGCAGTCACTGAATCTTACTTCTTGGCCTCAATTAATTTGGAATTTGATCCAAGATTTTTTTTTAAAAAAAGTATTTTCATCATAACCTTGGCCTCCATTCACTTGTAAAAGAGGGGGGAAAAGCATAAATCTTTTGCAGACATAACATTGGGTGACCGTCTTATCTGACCTCATGTCAAAGGTAGCAAGAAGAGGGAGACATCCCCCCAATAATTCATCGTGCCGTGCCGGATAACACCAGCAGTAGGATTTACAGGTGTTGCAAGTGAAAACAAGGGGAATGAAAGAAGGAAAACAAAAACTGTCCTGGTGATGACTGATGACCTGGTCCACAGGGGTATTATTTCCAGCTTTCCACAGAATTCCACTCTGTCTCATCAGGTTCTGAATGCTGGGAACACAGATTTAAATTAAATACGAAATTCTAGTTTTATTTGGTTTTATTTACTACTACTACCTCCCATGTTTCTATTCTTTTCTAGTGAGAGTGGTTTCTTGTATGACCCTTTGTATCTTCTATGCTGCAATTTATGTATTTCAGATGGACTGGCTTGGTGATGAATTCATATATGCACATAAAAGTATCAATAATTTGAGACCGACCGAATTTTCAAACAAATATGAATTTCATGAATATAAATTTCATTGTAGGATTTACCCAAAAGCGTTTTACACTTTTTTTTTCTAATAGCATCCAATTTGGACCTGCTCGGCTGGGCTGGTTATCGCAGCCGCTATAACACTTGACGCACAAACGCACAATCAATCAAGACATTTGTTATCCATATAGAATAGAGTGAAGCACATGGGCGATCCCGAAACTTGTGCCAGTGTGTCATCTAGATCTCCAAACTACTAAAATATATTTTTTAGGTCTCTAAACTTGTTTGTGTCATGTAGGTCCAAACGGGTTCTAACCCGCTCCATAGCGCTGATGTGGCAATGCCACGGTAACGCCTACGTGTTAGTGAAATTCACATGTCAAGCATATATAAAAAAATAAAATTAAAAACCATATTTTCTCCTCTTAGGTAGACAGAAAAAAAGATAAAAATTCGAAGGTAGAGACGAGAAAATATGTTTTTTTTCTAATTATATTTTTTCTATGTAACTGGCATGTGGATCCGACTAACACGTAGGCGCTACCGTGGCATACCACATCAGCGCATGGAAGAGGTTGGAGCTTGTTTGGACCTATATGACACCCAAAACAAGTTCAAAGAACCGAAAATGCATTTTGAAAGTTTAGAGACCTAAATGACATACCCGCACAAGTTTAGGGACCGCTCGCGCACTTTATTATAAGTCTCGATGTAGATCCACCGATAAGAAACTAGTCCTATGCATTTTTTTATCGACGGAATTACCAAATGACAAATATATTTTTAATAATGGATTAAAACTCAGCCTCTACACCAACAACGTGCATACAGCCACTGCCGAAGATGCATATATAGCCCCCACTCTTCCATGGAAAACTGAATACAAATTGAAACATCAACTACAAAATGACCATTGTACCCTGCACCAATGATTCCAACCCAAAACAAACCTCTCCCAAAATAAAAATAGAAAAAAATTAAAAATTACAGTAGTAGTAATAATTTACCAGTTGGATAAGTGTACTGAACTACCCTAATAAACTAGCTTGACCAACCTCAGTCCAGCTCCAGCAAAGCAACCAGCAGTAGCGGGTAGTATATTATAGTAGCAGCGTGCCTACGGGCTTCTCTGCCATTGCAGTGCAGTGCAGGGGTCCCTCTCGCCTTAACCACCCAACCAACTACCTCCCCAAACAGTCGCCGCCGCCGCGCGCCGAGCTCGAGCTACCTGAGCTGCTCCCATGTCGTCCTCGTCCTCGTCGGCCGGCGGCTCCCACGCCGGCCTCGCCCTCGCCGCCACCGCCATGGCGCTCTCCGGCACCCTCGTCCTCTTCTCCCTCTGCCGCGCCAACAAGCCGCCTCACCACGACGACGCCCCTGCTCGCCTCCGCCCCTGCCTCTCCTCCTCCGGTGAGCGAGCGGAGCAAAAGCGCCGCCATGGATGGCCATAGCGCGCCGTCGTGCGTGCTGTTCTTCTTGGCTCCTCTTTAGGACTCTCCTCTCACCTGACGTGTGTTTCTTGCAGAGAAGCGGAAGAGGGAGAAGGCGCGGCGCGGGAGCAAGAAGCGGGTGAGGTTCGCCGCCGACGTCGTCGACAACGACAGCAATGCGTCGTCCCGCCCGGCGGCGGCCGAGCCGTCGTGCAGGAACGCGGCGGCGACGGCGGCGACGGCGATGCCGGCGAACCGGGAGGCGCTGTACCGCGGCATGCTCCGCGGCCGCTCCATGCTCAGGGTCGCCTGCTCCTACTAGCTCCAGCTAATTAATCTGCCATTAGTCCCTTAATCCGGAACTTGTTGCTTCTGTTTGCTCCCTTGCTGATCGCTAATCGCCGCCGCTAATCATCGGGAAGTTTTGTAATTAGCGTGCATCCCGATGCACGAGCGAGCGAGCGATCAGCAGCAGTGCAGGTGATTGTAGCTGTACTTGTTGTACGTGTACATTATTATTGTTATTCTGGGTGATTAGTGAATTATTAATCCATTGAAGCTTCCGATCTTGCACTTCCTCTGTGTCCATCAAATTTCTCTCTCTCAATATTCATTTTTTTTTTCATTCTTTTTTCCCGCCAGGTGATTGCCGGATTTCTTTTTCCTCCTCTCGTTGCCCAATTTTTTTTTTCGGGTGTTAGCAGTGATATATCATCATATCAGCAGTTGTGGTCGGCCGTTGCTGTCCTGATCCAACCAAAAACACAAGCAGAGACGGACAAAACAAACGGACGGAAGAGGGGAAGGGAAGCACGGCTCGGGTTGTTGCTTTGGGAGAAATCACGGAAGCCACAGGATTATTGGTATCTTGTCTCGTGAGAGGATGGAGCAGATAGATAGATGGATAGATAGATACTGGGGTTCGGGGGATTATTCATGGCTGCGAGAGAAAAGAAGAGGAATCCGTGGTGGTGGTGGCGTGCGGCGGCGACACAGGTCGGAATCGATCGGCGGGCGCGCGGAGGCGGGGCGGATCACATGCGCGCGCGCGCGGGGGGCGCCGCTGCGGTCTTCGGCTAATCTCCCGTGACTCGCGGCGTCGTCGTGTCGTACGTGTCGTGTCGCGGTGGTGGTGTGGGTTTTCAGGGGAAAGGGGGCACGCGCGCGGTCGGGTACTCGGGTTGGGTTTGGTGTGTTGTGTTGTGTGTGTTTTGGGAACCCTACCTCAACACGAAAGATAGAGCGACGGATTAGTTTAGAATCTATTAAGAACTAGGATAAAAACCTTTAAAATAATACTTTGTTATAATTGTTTTTAAAATTGTATATTATTTGGTAGTTTGGAAAGCCGTACACGAAAAAAAGAGAGTAAATGTAAATGTACTTAAAAAACACACCCTTGATTGCACATACCTTAGCAAGGTCTAAGGTCAACAATGAAAAAGGCGGTTTTTAGTAAAGTTGATGACAGGCTTGGCAGTTTGGCACAAACGTACGCAATGAAGAAGTTTACAATCGTTAAGGAACTCTTACCTCTCTTATTTAAAATATATAATAGTATACTACTATCAACCTAAATTTGATACTAGCTTTTCATAATACTAATTGATGTTAAATTTAATTTTAAATTACTATATTTTAAAATAGAGGGAGCACACTATAGGAGATCCTTCGTTTCGCTTCACTTCAGAGCATTTTTTTTTTGCCTCCAATCTTAACTAGTGAAAAGTTAATATTAAAATAGAACTAGAATATGCCATATCATGTAACAAATAATAACCATCGGATCTAAAAGGACAAAAAGAGAGAAGATATCTGAGCCGTCAAATATAAGTAGAAAAGATCCTTTCGGCGACTCATATTTCTTGAGACCTAGGAAAAAGAAGGGGAAAAAGAACATAACTACTCCTACATTACATGCTGCACATTGCTTTGTTTAGTTCACACTAAAATTGGAAGTTTGGTTGAAATTGAAATGATGCGACGGAAAAGTTGAAAGTTTGTGTGTGTAGGAAAGTTTTGATGTGATGGAAAAGTTAGAAGTTTGAAGAATTAATTATTTTGGAACTAAACACGGCATAAGTACTCCTACATCTATTTTCTGCATGAAGCTTTTTGGATGACTCTGCCCTTTGAAATAAGATCAAACGGATATAGTGTTCACGCTACAGACTGCAGCGAACCGAATTCAATCCCTACACTACTGTGTCCTGAAGCAGCCACAGGTCGAGTTCACTGCTGAAACGGCGGGCTCCACCAATGAGAGAGGTAGATCATTCCACCATAAAATCTCCTAAGACCCAATCCAGACCCATCGACGATGATGGTCCGAGAAACTAATTCAAATTCCTTGCTTATTTTCTAATACATGTGTAGATTTATGCTCCACCATACAGTAAAGATATTTCTCAAAATAACCTTACTTTGTTCTCAAATTTTACGTCAAATGATATAATTGTTTAATGACACATAACAAAATTGTTATAGTCGTGCAAATGCGTCACTTTATAGTCCAATACCAGTGAAAAATCCTAGTAAACTCAGGGTGCTCTCCCCTCCCGTTGGTTACTACCGGTGCCCAGTGAGTTGGCTTACATATGGTTCGTTTAAGATGAAATTCCTGATTGACCGAGCGTCGTTTTCGTATAAGGTGTACCGTTTTAGACTATTTTTAAAATCTGTTTTTTTAATTCTTTCTGCATCATATTAATATCAATACCTAGTAGTTTAAATGATAAATATGTTTAATTACTAACCGATAGAGCGTCGCTTTTAAAGAGATGCTACCGATTCCGAGAGGATTTCGATCATTCGTTGATTCGTTCGATCCCCTCGTTGCGGCACCACACCGTCCACTGCGACGCTCGTGCAGTCCAGCGTCTCCATGTTGGGGTTGGCCCGATCGCTCATCAACCATAACCAACCAACCAACCAACGGCCTGGAGACCACCGGTCCCCTCCCACGCTCGCACGCTCGTCAATTAAACGGAGATTTTTGAATTGCTATGGGCTGCAGTGTACATCTACTGGTCGCCTATCATATTTTGTTAAACAAGATTCTCTATCCATGATTGTAGCTAAATTATCTTTGTTATTAATCTGGTCAAGTACGAGTACAAACAATTCATCTCGCTGCTCTGACATCGACCGGCCGTGATGGTAGCCAATAATTAGTCATGTGGATTAGGCACGAGCAACGAGATGGATGTAGATTAGTTAGTTTTTTTTTTTGCGGGGAGATTAGTTAGTTAATTAATATGTTACAGGTGTTCTGTTGTGATTAGCGGATGTGGGGGATCGCGTTGATTAGTGTTGTGTGGGTTTGATTAATTAGCACGAGGAGACGGCGAAGCTTAGAGCTCTTCTAAAATTTTCTAAAACCCTCCTCTCTTTTTTTTCTAGGACCGTAGAGGTATGGACACGCAAGCCGCCTAGCTAGCTCTTTCAGCTCCATCTTTTACTGGTTGGCTTATTTCATAGCTAAAATTTGAATTTTCAGTTTCTTAATCATAATTTTGTTTTTTGCATTTTCTTTTAAATCATTATTTTGGTAACTTCATTTATTTTCCCATGACTTATTAGCTATAAAATAATTATGACCTCTCACCTAAACTTCATAGAAAGATCTTAGAGACGAGACAATCCCGAATGACTGTAATTTTTTATACTAGTTGTCTATGAGGCCATGCTTAAAATGTTATGCCTTTCGTGCTGAAAGTCTGAATTTACTCATGGGCTTGTTCAGATTAATGTTATTTTAAATCATACTATATTTTAAAAAATAATAAATATACAGATGGATTTAGTTAATTACCAAACATTTATAATGTTCAGTGAATTTTGACAACACATTAGCCTATTCTAACGTAAACACATCTTAGGCTCTTGAAGCGTGCGGTTAAGGGAGTGTTCTCAACGTATTTTTTAAAAAAATATTAGTGACGTACCCATCCGTCCTCTGTAACAATCGTTTGGTTAGTGTGACCTGTTTGCAAGATCTTCAGCTAGAGAAAAGCAGCACTTCTACGAAAGCAATTAGCATGCTTTTATGTATTATATTGCGTGATTATTTCTACGGACTTTCTGGATCTTGAATGATCAACTCCAACTTTCTCCCCCACCCAATGTCGTCACTCGTCAATTTTGCCAACTCAGCTCACGCCATAGAATTCTACAGTACCTTCTCATTATCTTGGTGGTGTTCTTGAGAGGTGCATGCAAATTCATAGGGCATTTTTTGAACTTTGAAAATGACGGACGTGTTCACTTAGATAAAAAAAACCTTACCAAATTTTAGTATATAGTTACCAAAATTTGGTAGCAAACTAAATGTAACCACTTTTTTGGCAACTTTATCACAACTTAGTAAGGTTGAAAATAGCATTAAAGTGAACAGGCCCGACACGTTTATAGATTCCATCAGAAATTGGACTCTATAATTTAAAATGGCAAATGTTGCATGGATGGGAGGCGCGGCATAGGTGTTATCATCAATTTTCATGTCCAACTATACAGATTTTTGGTTGAGCTAGTGTTGTCAACTTGTGGTGTCATAATGATTTCACATCAAATTTCATCGATTTTTAAAAAAGGGAAATACCAGGAAAAAAAGGAAGTAAAAATATCAACGTGAATTATTTTTAGGGAGGGAAAAGCAGCAGCCTATATTGGAGAGGTCAGTCTCACAGAGCGTCAACAGCAACACAGGTGAAAGATGGGCCTCGATTGGGCTTCGTTTGGTCGGATTACGGCCCATTAGGGCAAAAAAGAAATGAAGAAATGTCGCACAAATCTCCTGAAAATTTTTGAGCTGTCGATATGAATTCGTTTCGGAGAATTTTGGTTTGTATGAAACTCTCGACTAAATAAAATAAATACGGATAACAAAAAACAAAATGTCAGAAGTGGGATTTGAACCCACGCCCTCGTTAGAGGACCAGAACTTGAGTCTGGCGCCTTAGACCACTCGGCCATCCTGACCGTTATGTAGCGTTATTTCCGGTTAATTTTATTATTCACAGCTAACCATCTGCTCCACCTTAACAAGTCCTTTTTCCTTTTCTTTTATTAAAAACAAAGTAAGGAAAGCAAAAGGCAATATTACAAGACAGTCTAAGCAATAATTTCCCACACCAATAAATTACTCCCTCCGTTCCTAAATATTTCACCATGACTTTTTTAAATATGTTTAACTGTTCATCTTATTAAAAAAAATTAAGTAATTATTAATTCTTTTTCTATCATTTGATTTATTGTTAAATATATTTATATGTATACATATAGTTTTACATATTTCACAAAAGTATTTAATAAAAAAAGACGAACGGTCAAACATGTGCTTAAAAAGTCAATGGTGTCAAAGTATTTAGAAACGGATGGAGTATGATTATTGCTCGCGTAGAGTTATGTATGCAGTGGCGGAGTCGACATCATCGTGTGAGTCTTGGGCGATTAATAACATTCCATGATGATGGCTGTGTTTAGTTCGTTGGCCAATTTTTTTTAACGTATACGGACACATATTTGAAGTATTAAATATAGACTAATAACAAAACAAATTACATAATCCACCTGTAAATTGCGAGACGAATTTATTAAGCCTAATTAATCTGTCATTAGCAAATGTTTACTGTAGTATTATATTATCAAATCATGGCGCAATTAGGCTCAAAAAATTCGTCTCGCAATTTACATGCAAACTGTGTAATTGGTTTTTTTCCGTTCACATTTAAAGCTCCATGCATATGTCCAAATAATTGATGTGATATTTTTAGCCAAAATTTTTTGGAATCTAAACACAGCCGATGAATCAATTTTTATACACATTGACGCTAGTAGGTAATGGAGGCGGCAACGGTAGAGCCCGGACCGTCACCCAACCTACCCGAGAGCTGCCTCCCTCACTGCATGTATGATCATTTGTACTGTGAGCGTCTGCGTTTGTATTTTGTTTAAGAAAAAAAAAGAGAAAAAGGCCAATACTTCAATGTTAGGACAGTTGTAACTGATGCAAGCTTGCATTCTTTGACATGGCTATTGTCGTGGAACTCGGGATAGCAACCATTGTGGTCCAGTCAGCAGAATTTGCTGAATACTCCCCGCTGTTCTGCGTCTTAATTTATCTTGAGCAAATGTGGTGGGATTGGAATTGAACTAGAGAAAGGATTAAGAAAAATAAGTCCATGCAAAAGCATACCGTAAAGTTACAGGTAGGATACGATAGCATACAACGAAAATATGGGAAACGGGTACATTTTTAAGTTCCAGCTGCCTTCTATGGATGTACTCGAAGAGCTGAGACCACTGCTTCTTGTTTTATGTTTAAGCTGAAACAGACTAGTTCTTCTGAAAAATACCGAAGGCTCCAAATTGATGGGGGCAAACAGACCTGAACAATATCCCAACTATGTCGAAATGTATATAAAAAATGGAAGACTAAAATCATGATTACGATGCATTCAATCAGATCCCCGAATTGTCCACAATCACTTGATGCTTTGGCAATTGTGTCTGAATCAGACTGAGACTGAATCACAACGATTCATTTTTCAGGACAATTCATGCTCAGGTGCAAAACTGAATTGAAACTGAATTTTTAGTGGACATGCTGAAACAGAATTGAAACTTAGTGTTCGATCCATGAGGAAAAAAATGACCCGTATATGCTGAAACTGAATGATTAAAAGTGTCAATGCGACAATTCCACGGTCATGGGAGCATTTCGGAACAAATCTTCAGAAGATAATGAGATAACCTAGAGTTTTATGTTTAAGCTGAAACACAGACCATTCTTCAGAAAACACCGAAAACTTCAAACAGGATGGGGCAAACAGACTCTGAACTCAACTATGTCAAAAAAGAAAAATGTGTAAAATGAAGAATGTCTCAAATCATGATCACAGTGAATTCAATGAGCCGAATTATCCCCCAATTACTTGATGCTTTGGTAATTTTGTCTGAATCCGACTGAGACTGAACAACAACGGTTCATTTTTTCAGGACACTTGATGGTTGGTGTCAGGCAATGACTGAAACAAAATGACTCGCGTATGCTGAAACTGATCGATTGAAACTTAAGTGATGATCCATGGTCACAATTTGATAAGAAGAACACCACAACAAAAAAATCGTCAGGAACTATGCTAACTGACCCAAGTGATCGAACTAAACTGCTTGTCTCCCTGAACTTTCCGCAGAAGAAACAAATCACCGAAGAACATCGATCAGACTGCAAGATGGTGGATTAATTTGCCGCTGGTGCTGGCAATTTGCTGGTTGCTAGGCTCAGCTGTAAAAATAAAAATAGAATAAAATAAAAACCACCAAACCATGTCATTTTAAATCAGCAACCAAACTTGCATGAACAGATGAGAAATATGAGATGGATACCAGAAATGACTCGGCGCAGTAGCTGACGAAGGGGAAGAAACGGCCTTGTGATTTGCCCAATTCGCACACTTTCTTGATGCGCAGCGAATCGAGCTCGACGGCGAAGACGCCGTCTTCTTCCGTGCCGACGAAGATGACGTTGGGGTCCTCGGCAACTGCGGCCAAGCACGCCCGCTCCTTGCCCTTGGTATTCCCGACCGGCCATGGCAGCACCTGCTCGAGATCGATGGCCACGCGCCACACCCACCGGGCGGCGGCGGCGGCGGCGGAGCCGTCCTCCTCCCTGTCCCACAGGGCGAGCTTGTGGCGGTGCAGGACTCCCAGCCGCAGCCCGCCGCCGTCGCTCTCCGGCGCCGCCATGACGACGGTGTAGCCGAGGCGGAGGCGGCGCTTGGCGCCCGGCGGCGGGTCGACCACCGAGAGCACGTCGGCCGAGGTGATGCCGTGGCCCAGGATGTCCCTGCCGCAGCGCAGCGGGAGGCCATACCTGTACCGGAGGAGGATCCCCGACTTGCCGACGAAGTAGAGCGTGTCGCCGCCGACGAGGGCGGCGGGGCGGTCCTCGAGGTGGTACCCATCGAGGTCGAGGTGGATGTTGATGTGGACGCTCCACTCGCCGGTCTCCGACGAGTAGAAGCAGGCGTGCGCGTCCCAGAAGTGCCTCTCCCAATTCTGCACGCCGACGAAGGCGACGATGAAGGAGGCCGAGCCACCACCCCCACCCGCGGCGGCGCCGGAGATGACGGCCGGGTGGGTCAAGGCATCCATCACGTTGGGGATCCTGTGCTGCTCGCCGGTGATCGGGTCCCAGACGACGTGGCCGTCGGTGGGGTAGTGGGAGTCGTAGTCGTAGAGGACGACGCGGCCGTGGCGGCAGTCGAGGATGTGGTGCTTGCGGCGGTCGCCGGCGGCGGCGCGGAAGGAGGAGGCGGCGGCCGGGACGAAGCGGTCCAGCTCGCGGTCGGCCGGGTTGTGGAGGACGCCGAGCACGGGGGCCGCCGCCGCCGCCGCCGCCCTCGGGTGGAACGCGCGGTGGCGCGCGGCGAAGCTCGGGTCGGCGAGGACGCGGCGCCAGCGCTTGCAGACGGCGGAGGCGCGGACGAGGCGCGTGGGGTCGTCCGGCGGGATGCGGAGGAGGATCTCGCCGACCAGGTCGTCGTTGTCTGCCACGGGGTGACGCGGACGCGGAGGCGGTGGCGGTGGCGCCGCCATGCTGCGGATCACGGCGACGGCGACGGTGACGATGATCGATGGCGAGGGGTGGAGATTGGAAGAATCGATTTGTGATTCTTTGTTGCTTTTATCTGGACGCACGATCCCATGTTTCCAAACGCCGACCGTTGGTGTCACAGTTCACTTTCCAAACGCAGTTCAGATTGCTCCATGTGTTTTGTTTCATTCGGAATAAGTTCACTTTAATCCCTCGTATTTGCTTCGAGTTTAAATCACATCCATAAATCATGATACGAGATATAACACGTCTTTAACTTACAATACTGAAATACTACTAAATTCACATGATAATATTATGTCCGGTTTTAGCTGACGTGTCATTGAGTCAAGGTGACCACATGGACGCTACATGTGAACGGGTCGGTTTTCCTACTCCTCCCTCCTCTTACTCTCTCGTCCCCATCTTTTCCAGGCTTCCCTCCAGGTGGTAGCGAGCGGTCAGCAATAGGGAGAAGGGCGATAATTAACCGGCAAGACAAGAGCTGAGTGGCAGCTGGCATCATCGAACTAGACCAATCGCCGAATGGGAATGTGATGGGTGGTGAACTAGAACATGCGGTGGGTTTTCGCTGAACTGGAATGAAATTGATTTTTGCATGCAGATCTTTTAAGTAGCCGTATGCGAAAATGTAGACCGATGTTTGCAGGCACGACTAGTTACGGTTCACCCGTAACCTAAAGATGTCCTCGTTCGGAAAAATGTTTTCTGTAGTAGTGATATGACACCTTCTAATAAAAGTTTGCTCCAAATGTCACGGAAAGAGCAAAGGATTTTTTTTTCGCTGTGATGGACTGTATAAATATTGATAAAATGTGTTCAGCATATCGTTGTGAAGTTGAGGTATGCAGTGTTAATTTTGGATAATTACATTGTTATCAAGCTCCATCATATGTGTTGGATAGTATATGGAGAGAGGTATATTGCGTAACATGGATCTATTGTATTGAACCTCAGGGGGCCGGTATATATAGGAGTATATGGAGAGGAGATAAGGAAGGATTACAGATATGGAAGGAATCCACACAAATCAATCCTATTCCACAACGCCCTCTTGTGTGTCAATTACTACCTTCCCAAATCCTATCCATGAACGCATGTGTATACAGATAAGAGAGAGAGATGGGCAGCAAGAGATCGATGGCAAGGCTGGCGGAGGTGGCGTCAACGGTGGCCAGCGGCGTAGAGGAGTGCGGGGACGGCGGCGTGGTTGATGGAGGTGGCTTCCTCAGCGCGGCGAAGAGGCAAGCCCCGTCACGCTAGGGTAGATGGCTGCGGGGCAGCGCCGAGCACCACCAGCAGGCGGGCGTCCTCAGCGGCGGACGGGGCCCGATGACGCCGGCCGAGGTGAAGAGGTGGCCGTCCCCCCTCCCCTCCCCCCCCCCCAGCGGCAGCGGCGAGGCAGGCCTAGCATGGCCGACGGAGATCCACACGTCAACGGTTGCTCGTGGATGGCCACGGGCGGGGGCAGTGCGCCAGGTGGTCGGTGAGATCGACGACGATCGGAGACGCTGCTGCTGCTGCTTGATTGATGACAACACAAACGCCTGAGAGATGGATCTCTTAGGATGATGACTTGACGACGCGAAGAGAGAAAAAAAAAGTTGGCCGCCCCCGGGAGATCGGAGCCCTCCCGGGGCGACGGTGACGGAAGCGTGAGCAGCGGTTCTAGGTCGCTCGCTCTGATACCATATTGGATAGTATAGGGAGAGAGGTATATTGCGTAACGTGGATCAATTGCATTGAGCCTTAGGGACCGGTATATATAGGAGTACATAGGGTGAGATAAAGAAGGATTACAGATATGGAAGGAGTCCACACAAATAAATCCTATTCTAATATAACTATAACTACCATATACTCTAACAATATGATTTCCTGCTAACTTGTGAAAGTTTTTTTTTAAAAAATGAAAAATCAGGATGCTAGATCTTACTATCTGTTTTCCAGCATCGAGAATGTGATGAAATATATGCTTGATTTGTGCATCAAGTTTGCTGAATGTATATTTGTTTCAATCAGCATAAAGTTCTAATTTCTCCTCCAAGAGGCCTTTATGATGCAATAAGCTTTGCACATATTTCCTCACAAGCAAAGCAAGTCCATTCTTGTTATAAATAATAAATTGTTCAAGGTACTTGTTTTAACACTAGCAGGCTTATGAAATTTATGTTTGCTGTGATGTTTATTAGTTTTCTGATTAGTGGTGAACTCATTTCCTCGTCGGGCCAGCCAACCGCATGTGAAAATCCTCTCCGCCCATCTGAAAAACCCTTTCTGATCGGTGGCAGCTCCAGCCTTGGGAGTTCTCACCAGATAACGAGCTACACATCTCTCGGTTTTCCCTGTGATCATCCTGCTTTCGACATGCATATTGCTGGAAAAACAACATCGTCTTCAAAAGTTTCGCAATCGTTTGTTAGGGCAATGTGGTCATTAGTAACTACTATTAGACTTGTAGACTTTTTCTATCCCTTAATTGCTACACGCCCTAGACCAAGGAAGTAATATTGTAAGCACTTAATGGCTGTATGATCGCGGTTCAAATTAAAATGTTGATTGCATTTTTAGGCACTTTTGGCACCATATATATGCGCGCATAGAAGATTTTTGCATCGCTTTATTCTTCCTCCACACGATGCACAAAGTACGCTGGCTGTTCGAATTTTTGAAAAGAAAAAGTATCCCATTGCTTGGGCAACCCTTCGCGCGCCGTATTTAATGTGTGTGATATGCACTGATCCGATCCGTTTCTCTCTTGTTTTTTCGTCACCCGCGTGGGTACAGAAAAAAAAACAGAAACGAAGGTGACGTAGGAGTACGTATTGCTAGCATGTATCGACGGCGCCGGTGGACCGAGTTCATGCACCAGGCTAGACGGACACACAGCCTATGCCCGTCGCGCAATCTCCGGTGCCCGTCGCGCAATCTCCGGTGTAAAGCAAGCTTGCGAGCGTGCCACGCAAGCTAAAGCCGATCGACCTCGACGACATACATATTCCGTGGTCCCCTTTTCTTTCCGACCCAATGCAATAGCCTGAAGCAGATTGCAAATTAAGCAGCACGAGTAGATGGGTCATGGTGGCTACATGCTTTTCGTGCTACTGGTGTAATACTCCTGTGAAAAAGAAATTAATGTAGCTTTATTAATTTATTTATTGCTGAACTAAATGGATTTTATAGTTAGGCCTTGTTTAGTTTGCCAAATTTTTTTTCCTAAAAACGTCGCATCGAATCTTTGACACATACATGGAACATTAAATATAGATAAAAAAAATAATTGCACAGTTAGGGGGAAATCGCGAGACGAATCTTTTGAGCCTAATTAGTCCATGATTAGTGCTACAGTAACCCACATGTGCTAATGAAGGATTAATTAGGCTTGAAAGATTCGTCTCGCGGTTTCCAGGCGAGTTATGAAATTAGTTTTTTCATTCGTGTCTGAAAACCACTTCCGATATCCGATCAAACATCCGATGTGACACCCAAAAATTTTCTTTTCGCGAACTTAACAAGGCAATTTGTATCTTGCCAAACAACAAATATCGATCGGATGTAGATATGTACTACTCCCTCCGTCTTAAAATATAAGCATTTTTAAATTCTGACACAGTCTCCGAGATTCTACTTTGACCAACAATATCAATAAAAATAAAATGTTTTAAATATAAAGAATTGCATATTATGATAATTTGTTTAATGATAAATCTAGTAACATCAATTTTATACATATGATTGATTTTTTTTCTTTTGCTACTAATAGTTAAAGCTAAAAATGTTTAACTTGTCACTGTACTAGAAATACTTATATTTTAGGACGGAAGGAGCAATAAATAGTTCCGCCGGCAAATTTTTTCTCCATCACATCGAACGTTTGAACACATGTACGAAATATTAAATATTGAAAAAAAACAATTACATAGTTTGCGTGTAAATTGCGAGACGAATCTTTTAGACCTAATTGTGCCATGATTTGACAATGTGGTGCTACAGTAAACATTTGTTGATGATGGATTAATTAGGCTTAATAAATTCGTCTCACGGTTTCTATGCTGATTATGTAATTTGTTTTGTTATTACTTCAAATGTGTGTCTGTATATGATGTGACCCGGTTTTTTTTTTTTTTTTTGCCGGTGGAGGCTAGGTTAGTTATATACACGTACGCTCACTTATTTCATCACTAAATTGAACTTAAAAAATACATATATACGCTCACTTATTGCAGCGTTGCAGTAATTAAGCGAGGAAATGCATGTAGCCGAGAAATGCATGTAATTATCGATCTGTTTGCGATCTCTGCTTCTTCTAGGCTGCTGTTCGGTCGCACGCAAACAATCCACGGAATTGTCCAGGGGAGGGAGAGAGGGGGACCCACGGAATTTGTGTGCTTGGTTGGTTGGCTTCATGCATGGCAGAACGTGTGGATGGGTGCACCTGTGCTACCGGAAAGATACATACACCGGAGCTTGAAAGATCCATACACCTAGCAGGCTAGCACGGTCTGTGCGTCTACTCTACCCGCGGTTCATGAACTCAGTCCACGCGCTCGCGGCGCCGTGGATGCATGCAGCGCGTACTGCTACTGCTACCACCACGACGACGGCGTCTACGCCTGCAGCTCTGGTCTTCCCTTTTTCCCTGTACGCGCGCGGGGGGACAAAGACAGACTGCATGTCGAAATACACATGCATATACATGCAGTTAATGAAATGGTAATATGGAATAGTAGTAGTATACTAACAAAGTCGTTTTCTTGTTGATGCATATATACACCGTCTACATCGATCTCCAATTTACATACATACACCGTATGCATTTCACGGTACGTTGGTCCAAACTCCAAAGCCAAAGGTGATCTCTCTAAAGTTTGACTGCTTTTTCTAACACTCTCGCAAAATGCATAACCCATAGTTGCCAAAAAACCCTAGCATTGGCTCCTGATTATAAATATCGCAAGGCTGCACTGCAGTAGTGCACTTCACCTCCACCCCCGGCCATATCTCCTCATCAGCGAGAACGAGAGATCGAGATGTCGTCGTTGTTCATCCTCGGGTGCCCCGTCCTGTGCCTGCCTGGAGGCGCCGGCCATGGTGGTGGTGCTGGCCGTGGCCGTCTCCTGCCGCCGCCGGTCGCGCGCTTCGCCGGCGCCGGCCGTCCCCTCAGGCTGACGGTGGCACAGGCGGCTGCTAACCCAGGTCCATGGCTGGCCTGGGACGACGACTCCACCAAGGTGAGAAAACGCACGCACTCTTCTTTCCAACTACCTGCATCTGCATGCATGTGTAGTACGTACGGAACCGGATCGATGTTTGCGGTGTGCGTCTCGACTGACTTCTGCCTTCCTCGCATTTGATTCGATGTGTTTCAAAAAAAAAAAGAAGAAGAAAAATGTTCTTTTCGGTCGCGCGTATTGATCTGTACGTGGAGGGAAAAAAAAACTGGTCGTTTTCTTGTTGATGCTTGCGTGCTGTAACAAACGGTAGATCTAGGATTATGGGTCTGGGATGCCGTGAGAAAATCTGCTCTTGCGGTAAAAACATGAGATCGCGCGAGCTTGTTGCTTGGGAGAACATATATGTTGTACTTGATGCATGTGTGACGTTGGCCTGCAGGTAGTAAGGCCCTCTTACAACGTTCTTTCTCTCGGTCTAGATCTGTGTTTGTTTGTATCTTCTATGGAGTTTACGTTGTGCTTTTCTTTTCGGCTTTTTTCTCCCGAGGAGTTCACACGCTAGCTCTTCTTTACCGTTCTTGTTGGTTGTGTTGATACATGGTCTATCTGTTTCTCGCGTACGTAGGTTCTTCATTCTGAAAAGAAAGTTTTCTTTTTTTTAAAAAAATCGTGCAGGCTTGTTCGCAAAAAAGGTTCTCTTCTGATCAATAAACAAAGCGTACGCAGTAGCAACTACGGAGGAAGAAACGGTAGATCTTTGGTGGTTGTTGGGCCATTTGTTTTCTCGAAGGAAAAATATTTACTATGTCTGTCCACTAATACAAGGGATGTTCATATTTTCTTGTAAATGTTTGACCACTCGTCTTATTCAAAAAAATTTTTTGTGCAAATATAAAAAACAAAAAGTTATGCTTAAAGTACTTGTTGTTATTAGTAAGTATAAGTTAGCCGTGTTGATGATCGTTGTTGGGCTAGGAGGACAGACGTTGGGGATTTGGGGGATGGAATCTGTTTGACGAGAGGATGGCCTGATCGGAAAGGGTTCGAGAATGGGCCGAACTGATCAGCCCGTTGGTCCCTGGGCATACTGTGGGCGTGGATACAGTTGTGAGATGGGTTCCTAGGGGAGCGTGCCGGGCCAATGAGTTGTTCTGGGCCAGGCCAGGCTGATGCAATTTAATTGAAGTACGAGCATGCAGTTTGGGCTGAGAGGAAATTGGTTATGGGGCAAATTCTTTGGGCTGGGAGGGGTTTGGGGCTGATGATGTTTGGGCTATATGGGCTGGAACTTAGTTTCGTAAAACAATTCCATATACATACATGCGTGCCTCAACTGAAGTTTGTTTTTTGAGATGAAAAGAAGAAGATATATATATATATCTGAATCTTTATCTGTTTTGTTGGATATGTGGTTGCTGTCAGGTGACGCCGTACAAGGCCATCGCATGGTCAGCTGCAGAGGCGCTGGACCTCCTGGAGCAGACTCCGCCGCCATCGGCCGGGAGCGCCGCAAGCCAGGACGTGCAGGAAATAATCGGCACGTTCAAGAACCTCAAGGAGCTTGCTGATTCCGATGAGGTGCCGATGGAGCCCCTGGCGGCGACGTGCACGCTGCTGAGGTACCATTGGTACCTTTGGCAGTGCTACCACGGCGACCCAGTCACAAGGGGATTCCCGGACGGGCTCCTCAGTTTCCTGCACAGCTGCATCAGTTTCGCTTGCGGCCCCGATGGCTACGCGCTGCCATACTACCTCAACATTTTCGGCATCAAGGCCGACAAGCTCCCCAAGGAGGCGTGGGCCAAGGTCAGAACAGAACAGAACCCGATGACTTTTCTCCGACCCTAGACCTCCTTGTGTTGGCTTGGGCCGAGTTTAGTTTCGAAAAAAAAAATGTCACATCAAATTTTTATTACATATAAATTTTTAATTTTTTCATCATATCGTTTTAACTTCAATCAATCTTTTAATTTTGATGCGGAGCTAAACACACCCTTGGTATACCTGACCGACCTGTTCGATTTGTCGCGTGCATGCAGGATTTGGTCACAGTCGCGATGTATGCTTCCCAGGGTACCCGCCTCGTCGTGGGTAAACACGAGAAGCATCTTCTGGATGTTTTCAGGATGAGGCTCATTGCAGATGAGGGGAAACAGGAGGAGGAGTCCAAGATTCGGGCGGAGGAGGCCAGCCACCGCAAATGGCGCCCCGACCACTTCGTCGACGACGATGACGACGGCATGCTCGGACTTGGGGGCGTCTGACGACCTCCTTCCAAGCGAAGCCGGCCACAAAATCTATGCCATTGCCATTTGCCAACTGAGTAGACATTAGTTATCTTATCTTAGAGTATGTTTATGGTTAGGTGTTGTTACTTTAGCCTTCTGATATGATGGTGTCTTGATTATCACTGCTTTATGGTTACGTGTTACCAGACTTCTCCTTTGCTTTATGCTCACTATATTAATCCATTCGCTAGCAATGGGTACTCTGTTCCTTTGCAACTCCAGTATTACTGCTATTATATCAGAATATGCATGACACTTGCATGGGTCCATGGCATGAATGCAAAGAATTTGGATCCACAAAATTTGAGGGAAAAAGACTTTCTGCACTATCATAGCACAAACTTTCGAATATGACCTCTCTAAAATCAAATACCATTTCCCTGTAAAAACTTTTAAATTCAAAAATGATGGCTCTGTTTGAACACAGCTTCAACTCTAGCTGGATATATGAAAATTCGAAAATGATTTTAACCCATAAATTCTACTATCTGCAATGCCAAACAGACCCAATTATACAGGTAGCAGTGTCTTATTCGAAAAAAAAAGGTAGTAGTGTCTTATTCCGGAAAAAAAAAGTTGTAGTGTTATCTCGTATTGTTATGCTTCTACGACAGCAACATGTTCTGCACCAATAATTGTTTTGTTTATTGTGAAACATTACTGTTACAGCATCATCTTCTGATTAGTACTATATACATTGACTGGTCCTTTCTACTATGTACTCCACCCTGATCAAGTCTGATTTCTCCTGAACCCAGTGTGACAAGTCTATATTGATTGACCGGTCCTTTCTAGACTGCTCCACTGAGTGGATGCAAGCGAGCCAACCCGCCGGACCTACCACTTCCTTACACCCGCCGGACCCACCACTTCCTTACCCATGCTTTTCTCATTCTAAGTCTTGATGGTATTGTGTTCTTTTTTAAAGTTCATATAGAAGCGAGATTTTTTTTTTCTAATATTTCAACGAGAACTGTACTTCTTTTTTTTAAAAAAATCTATATTTAAAAAGATTAGGCTAGTTATGGACTAATTAGGCTCAAAAGATTCGTCTCGCGATTTCCATGCAAACTGTGTAATTAGTTTTTTTATCTATATTTAAAGCTCCATGCATATGTCAAAGATTAGATGTGATGTTTTTTTTTAAAAAAATTGAAACTAAACAAGGCATTTAGCTCAAACCCTCATTGACGCCTAGAGATGGCAATGGGGGCCCGTTTACCGTTTCCCCGTGATGAATTCATCTATTAGGTGACGGGGATGGTTAATATCTACTCACCATGAGGAATAAAATGGTTAAAAACCTCTCACCATCGGGGATGACGGGGGCGGGGACGGTGAACCATTCCCCGTCCCCGCCCCCCACAGTGACCCGACTATACTTATAGGGCGGAATTCTAGACTTTTTAGATGTATTGGCCCATAATATTGAAGCCCATTTAACATGCATATATATAATCTAACCCTAAGTCAACAGGTCAAAGCCAAATCCTCCAGGACCTCCACCCATCCAGATCCACAGCAACCACCACCCAAGTCACGCGCGCCGCGCCGCCGCCGTTCGCCAGTCCGCCGGGAGCCTAGGAGCCGTGCACGCCACTGTTCGCTGCCACTCGCTGCCTTCTCTCGTCGGGAGATTGAAGCCGTCGTCACCGGCCGGCGCGGCGCTTGCAGCCGTCTTCACCGAGAGCCACCGGCTGCCTCTGTCGACACGCCGCCAGCCTGCAGCCGTCTTCACCGGGAGTCGTCGTCGCCGTGCTGCCGGGAGCCGCCGTCGCCGCGCCGCCGGGAGCCGCCATCGCCGCCGCCATCCGTTGACCATGGCTTCAGCCTCCCCCCGTAAGCTATGACAGCGACGATGCAAGGTGAGCATACTACAATCCCTCATCCCTTCTCTGTGCTCGATAGACGCCTACCTCTAGTTCTTCTCCATCGAGTTATTCGTCTTCCATAGCTGCATTGTTGACTCACTAACCCACGACCGGCGGTCCACGCGAAGGGATGCTGCCATGGATTTGGACCTGCTACCACGTGATACAAGTAAAGCAGTAGTCGCTGCCGCAGCCACACCCAATGTTGGGCATACTGCCGTATCCGCCGCCGTGCTGGGTGCTGCCCCTGCGGTCGTCGCATTGGGTGCAGCCCCTGCGGTCGTCGGGTTGGGTGCTGGCTCCTCTCGCAAGTCCAATGCAAATGCCCTTCGCAGGCCTCCTCCTTTGAAAAGGACCACATCCAAGCCGAAAAGCCATCTTGCAGCTGTTGGAGCTCCTTCTGCACCGACTACTCTAAACACGTCATCTTTTGCCGGCGGCCTTCGTCTATTAAAATCCATGGGGTTCGATTTCAAGCACGCTACCCCTCTTATATGTTTCAGCTCTTTTATTTAACAATTTGGAATATGTAAGTTGGAGTTTATGACTTATGAGATTGCATTGCACTTAGGTACTGAATGTTTCAGCTCTTAGGTACTAAATGATGGATTTGTTGATGTTACTGTCATATATTTTCTTTGCAAATTGAAGGGATATTTCTTTGCACGTTACTGTTATATATTTTCTATATTTATACTTATGTACATGCATTATTGTTTGGTGATTTATAGTGCTATGCAGGTATGCGTCAACATGGTCTGAACTTTAAATTTGCTTTCACAGCTTTGTAAAGGGATTTCAGTATGTTACTAGGCCATTGAATAAATTTTGAACTGAATTTATTTCTCTCTTCTCAGATTCACATCGAAGTCAACTGCGGGTAGTGCGAATAGAAGCCAGCAAGACTCGCAATCACTTCCACCTCACGATGAGAGTGTTAATGATTCTCAGCCAATACAAGGTGATGATGATGAAGATGAGGCTGAGGAGGAGGATGTGGACTTTGGCACCAAGAGGAAGCTTACTTCTATCGTTTGGAAGGATTTCAAGAAAGTAAAAATCTGTGGTAAAGTCAAGGCTCAATGCCTTCATTGCCACAAGCGGCTTGGAGGGAAAAGCAGTAATGGAACAAGACATCTCCATGACCATTTGAAAATTTGCACATTGAAAAAGATCAAGATGGCGGGACAAAACAAGACACTTGCACAGTCTTCTTTAAGGTTCAATTCCCAGGAGGGAGGAAAAATATCTGTGGAGAAGTACACATTTGATCCACAAATAGCTAGGAGAGAGCTTGCTGCCATGATTGTACTACATGAGTATCCTTTATCTATTGTTGATCATATTGGATTTCAAAGGTTTGTGACTGCACTTCAGCCATTATTTAAGATGGTGACTCGAAACACTATTAGGTAATAATGATATCTATTAGTTTCAGTTGTCTATTAAAAATATCTGCAATTAAGAAGAAAAAATTAACATTTATGCATTTTTAGGAAGGACATTATGGACTATTACATGGAAGAAAATAAGAAAGCCCTAGCCTACATGGCTGGAACTAAGTCAAGAGTGGCTATTACTACAGACTTGTGGACATCTGATAACCAAAAAAGAGGGTACATGGCTGTCACAGCCCATTTCATTGATGATTCTTGGACACTTAGAAGCATTATCATGAGGTACTTGATGAACAATTAATTTCATTTCCTACTGCTACATATTTAATTCAGCATGACATTAGATTTCATTTTTGCATCAATCTGAATTTAATCTAGGTTTAACTTTGATTGTATAGGTTCATATATGTGCCTGCTCCACACACAACTGAAGTTATATGTGAACAACTTTATGAAGCATTGGTGGAATGGAATCTTGATGAGAAGATCTCAACCTTGACTCTTGATAATTGTACCACGAATGACAAGGTAATCACTGAACTTGGGAAGAAGATTGGCAAGTCTAAGTTGATGTTGGAGGGAAAATTGTTGCATATTGTTAACGACCAAATTTGGTTATTTAGGTATCGGAGATGAAGATAAAATCGAAGCGGAATCCAAGATGGAGATCGTTCCAGAAGCGGAGCAAGAATCGGCTGAAGTCCGAATCGGCTACGATCAGGATCGGTAGAGTTCGAGTCGGACAAGGTTGCCGATTAAGCCGATTCCGACAATGTGATTCGGTACACGTTGTCGGGTTGAGTTAATGTGCTTCATGAGGATTGCCATGCATGGATTGAGTCCTGAAAAGGTAATTGTATCTATTAATTAGGGTATTTCATGTAATTTCCTTAGAGATAAGTTTGGGCAAAAGTCTGCCGCAAAGACTTATGGTATCTTAGAGTTTGTTAGAGATGAGAGTCGTGTCCGACATGGACATATTTTGTAATCTCGGGTATAAATAGACCCCGAGCCCCATGTAATACAACAACACACGTTCAATACAATCTCGGCGCATCGCCACCCTTTACTTTTGTTTTTTTTCGACAAGTTCTTGCTTTCGGGTTGAGCTGCATCAGTTTCGATCTTCAACTAGATGTAAAACTTGTTATGGCGGGTTGCGTTATCGGGATTAGTGCTTCCATCTTTATGATACTCTAATCTTGTTTATGTAATTCGTCGAATTATCATATATTATGTATAATCTTCAACAATATCGTTATCTAACCTTCAATCGGCTAACATCTATTATTGGAAGGCAACCAATCAGGTTAAATATCTATGTTGACTTAGATTATACAGGGTATCTACCACTCTATGAAACAGCCAACAGCTTGATTGTCTAGATATTGTCCTTCTTTTCATATTTATAGCTGCATCAGTTGAGTTTGACCTTATAAGTCGTTATTAAAATCTCAATTTCTAGCCTGCTTTTGGTTGCCGATTAGGGTAGTGTCGGGGTTTCAGCCGATCTTACCTGATTTAACTACTCTATGTCTTATATGCTTGATTGACATGTTAAATCCGCCCTTTATGTTAAGATCTTGTTGCCGATACATGCTAGATCTATCTAATCGGCTATGCTATGAACATCTATAATCTCATTGTTATTATATATTTCGATCTAAGTGATTTATACTGTCTCGGCATGGTGACCGATCTATCCCAATCACTTGATTTAAGTATATATCAACATAAGAATTATATATGGTTAATATCTACAGCCGATCAAGTAGATTTAGTTCTTTCTTACTTATTCATGATTGCCGATCGATTCAAATATGACATCGGCTCAAAGACAAATGATACGTCATCGGCGGCTGGTCGATCGGCTATCGTTTATGGATTTAACCGCTATTTTCCTGTCTTTATTTCTTGTTGATTGCATGATCAAATCAACTGGCACGCTCACGAACCTAAAGGCAAGATTTTTGGACCTGCAC